TCCATCTCATTTCTACTTTTACAGTGGGCCCTTGGTATCTGCTGGGGTTTGGTTCCTGGACTCCCCATGGATAACAACATCCATGGATGCTCAAGTCCCATTAAATACAATGACAGAGTTAAAATGGTGCCCCTTATATAAAATGGCAAAAGCAAGGTTTGCTATTTGGAATGTATACTTTTTTGGGAATATTTTCAAGCCATGGATGCTTGAATCCATGGATAAAGAATATATGGATACAGAGGGCCAACTGTTTATCCTACTTGTTGTGGTTGTTGCTCCTGCTGCTGTTGTGTGCCTTCAAGTCATTTCCAACTTATGGAGACCCTAAGGCAAACCTATCATGGGGTTTTCTTGGCAAGATTTGTCCAGAGGAGGCTTGCCATTGCCTTCCCTTGAGGCTGAGAGCATATGACTTGCCCAAGGTCACCCAGTGGGTTTCATGGCTGAGCGGAGATTCAAACCCTGGTCTCTGGAGTCATAGTCCAGTGCTCAAACCACTACACCACATGCATATCAACAGCTAGAGAATTAAAGCAATTCCACTCGTCTTCACAAGACCTGGGAACCAGGATCACTTCTGGGTGCGATTCCAATATCTGTTGTTGGTTTTAGGTTAGAGACTTGGAAAAGTCTCAAATCTCACATTACACACACACATATCCACACTGCATGCTGAGTTTCTTTTGTGCATTCCCAAGATTGAATATGCAAAAGGTTTGGCAACTGAGCCTCCTTGCAAACAGTCGACTCTCTCCTCTTGGGAAGTGAGGAGTTTTCAGACAAAACCGAGTGCGTGACTTGCTTGTGTAAATGTATTCCTCAAAAGCAAGTTTGCAAGATCAAGAAAGGTGTGGAGAGGCATACAGTAATTTGAGATGTGTTCTGGTGAGGAAAGTGCTTGGGAAGCATTACTGTGGCACTGATAACACTGCCAAGATATTTATTTATTTATTAGAAATTCTGTATATCACCTTTCTTTCTAATAGATTTCAGGGTTCATCAATGTACAGTGCAACAAAAAAGTTACAATCCTCAGATAGCTGTTCAAAACAGAAAGTTTTTAAAGAACGTCCGGGGGTGTTGTTGTTATTGCATTATTTTAAAGTTTATGGTTTTTAAGTGGTTTTAAATTGTTTTTATATTTTTTTTCTGTTTTGAAACAAATGGTGTGTTTTAATATTGTAATAGTTTCATTCTATTTTAATTGTCACCTTTGTAGGTTTTTAATTGTACTGTGTTTTTAGACTGTGAGCTGTTTTGAATCCCAATTTTGGGAGGAAAGTAGGGTACAAATAATAATAATACTAATAATACAAAATTATGAGGCTAATGAAGACAGTGTTTGCCTGTACAGAGGAGATCCACTGAAATAACTGGGATTCAACGTATTGATTTTAATGGGTCTAATTAGGGAGAATTAATATTTGATTTAGCCTAGAGTCAATACAATTAAATTTAAAATGCCTGAGTAAATAAATAAGTCTTGGCCTGACCCTGAAAAACTTGTAATGTGGCACTGATCTAACTTTCTTCAGAAGGGTACTACCACCTCAGAAAAGACCATGGCTGCATCTACACTGCAGAATTAATGCAGTTTGACACTGCTTTAATTGTCATGGCTCCATCCTATGGAATACTGGGATTTGTAGTTTGATGTGGCACCAGAGCTATTAGACAGAGAAGGCTAAATATCTCACCAAATTACAAATCCTAGAATTCCAAGCATAGAGCCAGGGCAGTTAAAGCAGTGTCAAACTGCATTAATTCTGCAGTGTAGATGTAACCTATGAGCATTATATGGATCTGGTTTGATCAAATGATCACTGCCCCTCTGCTCTCCAGCCATACTCTAATTCAAGATAAGCTCATTCTGTGAGTTTGCAGCAAAAACTGGATTTGCACAGCACTGACTGGCTGTTAGTTGTAACATCATAAATCCACTTTCTCAATTTGGAGCAGCCGTGCAACTCTTTTTACAATGATCATAAAAATGGAAGGTGTTATGCAGAAGAATTGAAATTATGGGTGGGAACAGAGGGTGTATCTATAGTTATAGCACTTTGATACTGCTTTAACTGCCATGGCTCTGTCCTATGGAATACTGGGTTTGTATACCAGATGTATACCAGATGTTGGTATTTCACAGGAAGGAACGGGTAAATCCACCTCTATCCCTTGCCTAAGAAAATCCTATGAAATTCATGGGCTTGCCATGTCAATAGGTGACTGGAAGGCACATACACATACACACAAGGGACGTAGAGGATCCTGAATACCCCAAAGACATCAGATCCTGTCTGATCTTGGCTGCTAAGCAGGGTCAGCCCTGGTTGGATGGGAGACTGCCAGTGAATATCAAGTGCCATAGGCTATATTTCAGAGGAAGGAGCTAGGACAACCATCTCTCAGTATTCTTTGCCATAAAGTGCCCATGCACTGTAGAAATAACTTCATCCTATGGCATCCTGGGATTTTTAGTTTTAGAAGGTCTTTAGCTTCCTCTGTCAAAATGTGCTGGTGCCTTGCAAAACTACAATTCCCAGGATTCTGGATAGGGGCAGGATAGAGGCATGGCAGTTAAACTGATGTCAAACTGCATTATTTCTACAGTGTATTTCTTATATTATGTCAAATTTGAAAATAATTGTGGCACAGCATGATTTGTGGCACATTAATAGCAGCAAGGGAGTGCAGGGCTTTGAGGGAAGATGACAATATTGGGGAAGGTTTTCTCCCCTGTTAACCTCACACCCACAGCTATAACTCACAAGGCAACTAGAAACCCATAACTTGTGGACGGTGGCACAACATTCAAGCCTTGTGGTAGTAAAACTGACACAGAGATTTGACATGGGTTTGGCAAAGACGCACCAATTGAAACCACAGAAGTTACAGATACACACTATTTCTTCGACCAGAGACTGCCTTTTCTGTTTCTGTAAGAGATTCAGAAAACAACTGAGTTTTTTACCAAACTGGATGAGAAATTTCCAGCAAGAACTGTGAGCTGAACTAAACATTATCACACGGAGGAAATCCCGTGCAGAAACAGGGTTTTAAATAGGAAAAAACCCTGCAAAAGTGGGTAGATTTTCACACGATGTCGCTGTTAAAATGTGGTTAACCTGAACGGAAAGTAGTCAAAAGCCGCTTCTTTTTACTTTCGGGAAATCCCAAAAGTAAAAAGCAGCGGCTTTTGACTACTTTCCATTCGGGTTAACCACATTTTAACAGCGATGTGTGTGAAAATCAACCTGCTTTTGTGGGTTTCCCTCATTCACGTGTGATAAGATCCTATATATACTGGTTAACTGGTTCAATAGGTCCATTCCCCTTTTCTTCAATAAGTCCAAAGTGGTGTGAGGGCAGTTTTGTATTGAATGCCAAGTCTTTCTGGGGAAAGCTAGGTTGCCTGTTGACCATCGGTCTGACAAGTGGCTTTTCTTATCACTCCAATTTGTGTTCACCCAGTGCCCTCTACTGGCCTGGTTTTGGGTCCATGGGCATCCAATTTTGCACAGTATGGGGGTACAGGTTTTGTTGTTGTGTGCCTTCAAGGGGTTATGCAGACGGTGAAAATAATCCAAGATGAATCTGGGTTGAATCTCTCTTGTTCACACACATCCCAAATTAAGTTCTGTGGGGGGCTGCCAAGAAAACCCCACTTAATCTGGGATAATTGATATCGGGTTTTCCTCCAAATATTTTTTTAAAAAATCCATATCGTCGATAGTGGGAATAACTGATGTGAATAGACCCGAATAGATCTGGGATAAAACTCTGCATGCCTCGAACGTGTCCGAATGCATTCGTATCATCGCCTCCATCTTTATTTGAATGCTTGCATGTATGAGCAATGAAACTTGCAGAGATGCTCATCGATGCAGTTCCATAGTGTGAATGTGCAGATAAGATTATTCACATCGTCGTGCTAAAATAAAAGATGTCTGAATGACCCCCAAGTCATTCTTTTTTTTTAAAAAAAATTAAATATATGATACATACAAACATGACATATAATTAAAAGAATATTTGTTGTTTCCTTTTCTTCAATATCGAATCATACCTATAATTCTTCCCTTCTCTTTTTAATCTTCTGTAATTCTGTTCTAGATTATATACAGTACATATGATAGATTAAAACGCCTTCCAACCTATGTTTTCCCCTACGAGACTTAAAATGCTACTGTTTAATTTTCATACTGCTGTGTCCACAGAGAGTACATATCCTTAAACTTAACAGATGGGGTTTCTATAATAAATTTTCTATATAAGGTGTTTTCTATTCTTATTTTCATTCTCCTCCTGAGTTGCATCCTGGCATCATCAATAGGATATTTCCCCCCATTTCTTTTCATATTGTTGAGTTGTTTTTCCTGCGATATACATGGACAATCTGTTCATGACCACTAAATCGTTTAATTTTACTTTCCATTCCTCTATGGTAGGTATTTTGTCAGATTTCCAATATCATTCCTGACTTTTGGTGATCCTACCATGGGGTTTTCTTGGCAAGATTTGTTCAGAGGAGGTTTGCTATTGCCTTTCCCTGTGGCTGAGAGCCTGTGACTAGCCCAAGATCATTCAGTAGGTTTCATGGCCAAGCTGGGAATTTAACTCTGTTCTCCAGTTATAGTCCAACACTCAAACCATTATGCCACACTGCACCATATAATAAAATTTTAAAATGCAATTCATAGACTCATAGAGTTGGCAGGGACCACACGGACCAACTGATATTTAATTCTCTTTTAATTTTTGTAATCAATGTTTTAACCGTCTTTGTTTTTTAAACTATCGTAAGTTGCCTTGAATCCCATTTTGGCAGAAAGGCAGGATATAAGTACAAGCAGTCAATCAATCAATCAATCAATACCTGTATTACTTCTTGGGACTCCAGCTCCCAGAATTCCTCAGCTAACCATGCTGGCTAGGGAATTCTAGGCACTGCAATTCCCAACAAGCAACTGTTCCAAGTGCCACAATTTTCCTACGGTTGAGCTCCAGCACTGCACTTCCTTGCTTACAGATAATTGTATTGATAACATTGCAATTGTTTTTGAAGTTTTCTTATGACAACTTTGATCACTTTACAGCAGAAGGGTGTTAATCTAACACAGCCAGACCTTTTTTAGGGATAGTTTGGGGATTCTGTTGGTATACCGGCCACCCCGTTGCT